TACCCAGGCTGCACACTTCAAAAAAAAGACAAGCAATTCCTGAAGTGGTGTTTTTTATTGTTTCTTTAAAATAGTGTTATGTATGAAGTTACAGTGTGGAGATATTTTTCACTGTTCTGGTTAAAATCATGTAAGAATATTGTAATACAGTTGCTGTACTGCACACAACTGTCATATACAGCATACACGCAAAGAGGACAAGTAGACAAAGAAAACACAAAGTAAGATAAAGACAATAGTAAAAGCAAAAACAATAGTCATAAGTTAAGACGTACAAATTCTCTCTTTAATATAAAATCAATTGACTCACTATGTACTATCTAAATACGGATGAATAGTCCTCACTCAATATAAAATATTTCATCCTGTACCTGTGAGTGAACTTGTTTTCCTTCAATACGATAGGTTTTTATAGAAAGACATCTGGAACTAGCATTTAAATTTCAATATATACGTGATTCATAGTTTGGATGAAATAAAAACATGTCAACAGGAAGGGAAAAGTGTTTAAGCACGCTCGCCACGAATACGTCTTGCCAGCTGAATGTCTTTGGGCATGATTGTTACACGTTTAGCATGGATAGCACATAAATTTGTATCTTCAAAAAGTCCAACGAGGTAGGCTTCACTGGCTTCCTGCAATAGAAGAAAAATGTTTATAAATTGCTGCACTAATATTAGACAGGTAGTGAATTGATTTACTAGTAACAAGAGGAAGCCATTTCAAAATGGCTTTCCATATCTAGACAATTTCAATTAGGTATGAACAATTCAATCTGCAACTTACTTGAAGGGCTCCAATTGCTGCACTCTGGAAACGAAGATCTGTTTTGAAATCCTGAGCTATTTCACGAACCAAACGCTGGAATGGCAATTTCCTTATCAACAATTCTGTGCTTTTCTGGTAACGACGGATTTCTCTCAATGCCACAGTTCCCGGCCTGTAACGATGGGGTTTCTTTACACCTCCAGTAGATGGAGCACTCTTACGAGCCGCTTTTGTAGCGAGCTGTTTACGTGGAGCTTTGCCACCAGTCGACTTACGAGCAGTCTGTTTGGTACGTGCCATTATTAAAATTAACTGCAAAATAAAAACATTGAAAATGTTAAAAAAAAAAAATAGTACTGAAGAATAAACATTACAACCGTGGAAATGCAAGCCTAACATGGCAGGATGCTTTGTTGAAATCGTACCAATATGAACCTTGACCTCTACAACGGCGTACGTTTTCCCGGCATTTCTGAAAACTACGGTAAACAATACAATGAATGTTTTGAATTTTAAATCAAAGAGTTGCAGTCTCAACGAGTTTAATAAAGCGCCAAAATTGGGAACCACTGACAGTCCGGGATAAAACGAATTTACACAATATAACAGGGCAGACACTTGAACAGTGTTAAATCAATTTTCGTAGTAAACTGGGCTCAGCTTCAGTTCTCCCCAAACAGCGATAAAGGGGAAAATTACACAAACTACAAAACTACCACATAGCGAAGAGATCCTTTCCTTTCAAAACGTCTGGTAGTGACGAAACCAACGGCAGTGATTCAAATACGATAGGTCAAGTACCGTCCAAAGCTACTATAACACGAAGACAAGTAAAACAGACTGACACAGAAAGCAAGACCAACCATTTACACAAAATATCCGCTTTTAAGGACAGAAGAGGGCAAATTTGTTAGCTACAAATATGTATTCGCAATGAAAATTACCTAACACTGCACCAAATTCAACATAAACATACGTTTCAAGTTATATTTGGACAATTCTTACCTTCTTCCGCGATAAAGAAACACAACACAACCACTAAAATCGTCACAAAAATGTCGGTTAGGAGCAGCAATTTCCCGGTTTATTTATAGCTTTACTTACGTCACGAATCAGGCACAGCTATAACAGATCACTGGATTGGTGGAAATTCACTCAGTCTTGAGAAACACGCGCAGGGATAGGTCCATTAACTAAGCAGTTCATTGGATAAAATTGACAAATTTTCTGAGCTATGATTGGCCAAAATTAACTAATTCTGATTGGTTCACGGACTGATCGCTGAATCCTGTTTTTGCACCAAGCTCAGGACATTAGCTTCCATAGAGTTACACGCAAAAAACAGAGTTTACAAAACGGCGATAAAATCAGTATAAAGTTATTCTCTGTCAGCTAATTTTATAGTAACTAGTAAGAACAACAATCAGTTAACCTTTCCCTGTTTTTATTTGCACAACTCCTAATTTAGAAAGGATGTTTTGTCTCTTGAAATGGTAGTGGCATCACGAGGCCGTATATACGTCCATGCATGGAGATTACGCTCTACGGTCATGGCATGGTAATAGGGTTTGCCCATTTAAAAATTTGGGGGTCTGAAACATTTTGTGAAAAAAAAATGTGCAGACACGGGAAGAACAAATTATTATCAACTCCCTTAGAATAAAAAACAAACATGTTTTTGAACATTTATGCGTTAAAATTCACGCGAACAGTCTAAATAAAGAATGATCAAACCACAGGCCCTCTATCCCCCGGCTATCCCCACCAAGAGAATTTCCCGGGCTAAATGATATCATAATTGGTTTGAAGCTTACATTTCAAATATTAAAATTATTGATAAAAAATAAACAAACTACAAATACTTAAAGGCAAATACCAAAAAAAAAAAGTATAGGTAAATATCAAATAGTAATAGTAAAATTTCAAACAAGTACATAGCAATACCCATATTTATGTGCAATTTTTTAAATCCATGTTTATACCAAATGATACAACTGCTGCCATTGTGTTTGTCAACTCAATACGCTCGCACAAAATCAGCATATATATGTTGCCTGGGCGACATGAAAGGCGTCGCTGGGGTAATCGGAACAGTTTAACGATATTTAAACGGAATTCGGGCGGAAATTTAGGTCTTGCATGTAGATCCAAGTTTATTGTAAAAAAAAGTATCATGTGCAGCTCAAATATTGTAGATATTTATTTATACGCTGAATTTATACATATAGTATTTGGACAGAAAATATGACCTATATTTTTACCTACAATCTTAAAAAATAGCCCATTTCCAAGGTACGTCACCAATATGAAATTTCTACATAGTGCCCCCCTCCCGTTGAACATATCGATGATGGTCCCATAAAAGACGACGAGTTAGTCACTTAGCCAACAACAACAACAACAACAACAAACTATACGCCTGGAACAGCTAACATGAAACGCCTGAAATAAACTCCATTGTTTATTTCTGTAAATTATATAAACTTCTGTTTGTTAACTTTCACGTGATAATCATTGGTGAATAGTGCATACGTACGTACATACGTCTAAACATAATGTGAACAGGAATTGTCTTATAACAGCGTTGATTGTATTAAACAATTTTTACCATTACCTGCTTCAGCCTCGCATTTGTGTGATCGGAAAATCAAAATATAAACTTATCGTTGTTCAAAATTGAGTAAAAATAACACACGTACATTTATCTCAATGTCTACATTTTTTCTCGGTGACTACATTATGACGAACAAAAGTTGTCTTTTGTGTTAACCTCATATTAAAGAAAGAAATATTGAAAAATTTACATAGTGACGTTTCGTTGACTGTGTTTATTATTATCTATACAAACGCTGATAATATATTTGACAGTTTTTTATTCAAACAAAACAGACTGAAAGTGATAAACTGCAGGGTGTTTTCAAACTCATGAATAATATTCCACCTCAAGAATCTGTCACAGTATTATAACAATGTAAATTGCACAACATTAAGATCTTTGTTGTCTTGACTGTGTTTGAGAAAGGTAAAAATACTGGAGATTTCGAAAAAAGCACATTATGCACTAATTTATTATAAGTTGGCACCATGTGGAGGTCATTGCCACCATTCTGGGGAACAAAGCTAGACATCTCTTGATTACATAATCAGGTGACAGAGGCTCCATTGTATAGTTTATGTGTGTTTATGAAGTGTGGGTGCTGTTTTTTGTTATGCATCGACAACGGATTGAAAACAAAGGCAGGTGAAAAGAACCGAGGTGCGATCTTTTCGTATACAGCGATACGAACGTTCTGCGCAATTCACAGGTCTTCGCATGATCGAAAGTGTTAAAAAATTGCAGAATAGTCAAGAAATTGATCTTCTTGTAGTTTCTTTGACAAACTTTGGTACGGCATATGCACTACAGTATCCGCCTATAAGTATCTATAAGTTTTAGATGATGTATAGTCTGTTATCGTAGTGTGCTTAGTAACTGTTAGAGAGCTTCTTTGTCGGAAATATATCTTTTTTAACAATGTTGTTCCATACCCCATAATGTAGACCAAATCAAATTATATTTATCATGAACTAAAATTGTTGCGAAAACACTAATACGCATGTGCAGTGATCGTTATTGTACGTACCAAGAACAACCAGCGTGCATGCGTATTAGAAATTGCACTATACAATTGCGTTCGTCATCAGACGATCGTATATTAACGAAACCACGCACCAAGACTAAATCATCCAGTGAACGAATACTCGGTTGGGTGCTACAAAAACAGCTTTTTCATGTTATGTTAAATCATAATCAATGTATTCATCGAAATATAGTGTCAAATAACAATATTAAAAAATACATGTTCACGTTTATATTGCTATGGAACTACATAGTCCCGTTTGTAATTCGGTATCTAAATTGTTATTTGTTAATGGTTGTCGACGATTTTGTTTTAAACACGTTTTATTTACATTATGCAAACGGATTAACAGGAGATTATCTCCAATGCATTCGCACGGTCGGGAGCCGAACAAGAGCCGAGATCTGCCAGAGTTCGATTCAGTTCGATCAGAGCCGAACGGAACAGTGCCCTCAAATAATTAATAGTATGAAAAAACTGGACTGAAAACAGATTTTGGTGTCGTGCTTGTGTTGTTTCTTTATATGGTACGATGCTGTTGAGCTAGGGAAAAAAAAAGTCGCATGTCTGAGCATGGAGGTAGAAAAGACAATGCACTGGTGTTATGATTTAGGTACTAGTATATCGAATCCATGCTCGAATAAACAGGAAACACGGCAGCTAAAATGTGTTACAGCCTTACATTGTCATGCAAAATTACCATTTTGTAATTATTCAACTGTAGTGATATCTAAACTACTAAGAAGAATCACAGTCCCTATATCCTCTCTATCTATCATAGAGGGACTGTAGAAGAATCTAAACCTACTAGGACCACGTCCGTACCGTGATTGCTTCTACGATTTTTATCTTTAGTGTCTTTAAAAAGTTTCCGTTCAGTCGTTCTTCCAAGTGTTTGTCTCATAATTTCGTACGTCATTTTTTTCTGTTTCCAATTGAGCTATCAATCTATCGCAGTAATTCTTTACTCTGCCAGATATATATTTAGGGCGTGATTTGGGCTCCGATAATAGGCCCCTGATCGTTGAGTTTAACACCGAGGGTTGGGGCTGAACTTGGCCTGAGCCAGCTCAATCAGAACGCGTATACACGGCCATTTTTGCTGGCTCGAGCCATAGAGCTCCGATAAAATGCTGTCGTGTGAACATAGCAATAGGCGTGAGTGGCGCCCTCGCCGACCGAACGGTATCAGACCCCACTAAGTTTAGTTTGAAGCACCGCGGAGGGTGCAATGCACGCGACCTTGTCAGGTTATATTATTTGAACTTGCACGTAATGTTTTATTCACATAGGTATAAATATCCGAGATAATATATTTGCCGCCATTGATATGCTTTGATTAGATTGAATTGGACGCTGATCATTTTTATATTACCTTTTCAGAATATTATACACCGGGAACTGTTTATCCGGATTGTATATGTTTACCAATTTTGTCAACATTTATACGTCACTGAAGCGTTTCACCCCCAGCGGCACAGAATACGAGGCATTGTTCAAGCACCGGACAACGATAAACGTTTAAAAATAAATGATAGTACTAATGCAACCAATAATTGAATTATGAGATCTCAGAAACACTATCAAAAAAAGGTATCTGCGAAAAACTCAAAATTACATTAGTATTGCAGTGTGGGTGGGTGGGGGTTGTAACGAACCGGTTGTCCATGCGAGATGCAAACTTGTAGGACCAGATAAGGGAATTGTTTTAGTCGATTCCCAACCTATATACTAGTATAGCTAATGTACAGACTTCTGCTGTCTCAACGAGTAAAATTACAATCGTGTACCCTACGTTTTTAAAACAACAATGACATAACTGGTGTCTCACCCGAGAAATTAACTATGTTGTTCATTTGTTAGTGTGAAGTTGTGATGCGCATGCTCCTACAGTTGGTCCGCTGAATGGTCAACTGTGGTACATGAGTGGTCAGCAAACTTGTGATGCGAGGTGCACAATAAATCGTATTTGGATTCTTGTGATGTCGACGAGTTAGAAAATAGCCGTGTATACCACGTTTTCAGCATGAATGGTGCAACTACAAAATGTATAGGTACCACAGACTGTTCTATCGTCCACAAATCGTAGAATCAGCTTTGATCCATGCCATAATTTTATATTTTCTTGTCTTTTACGGTTCTTGTATGTGAACCAACGTGTATCGTGGCGTGTGTATCTCAGAAAAAAACACGCTCGATCTCAACCATAGACTTTGTCGATTAATGAAATCATCGTCCATCGGGTATTGAATGTCGTACTACATTCATCGTAACACAATACACCTTGGCAACTTATCGTATTGATTTCTTAAAATTATGGACAGCACTAGCGATTGAACTTCAACTTTTTTAAAATCAAACACGAAACGTTCTGATCAGCGGACTGAACTTGTGATTATTACTCTAGGAGCATGGACTGTTTTTATTAGTTTGTGTAGTTGTTTCTGGCAGTGTGGATTACTTTTGGGGAATTTTTAAATAATTGGGTTGGTTACTGTTTCTCGATGCAACATTAGTGTATAGAATAATGTTTTAGTTTCCAGTTTGTTCGTTGAAAAAAAAATGAGTTTACTTTTTAGCTCCGCTGCCATCTCTGTTCACATCAAGAATATACAAGTGCAGAGGCGGCGGCACGAAATTAGGCACGAGGGTCGAGATTTGAAATCTAGACCCTCTGAAACGCTACTTCCTGCATTTTGAGGGGCACATTTTCCTGACGCAAAGGGTTTCAGCTTGATTGGGGGGGGGGGGGGGTCGGCCCTAACTTTTTTCGGATGGGCGACATATACACAAGATGTATTGCATTTGTCATTTGCTCACGAATGATTAAACGACTATCACTCAACATTGAAATAACCCTTCTAATGTTTGCATTTCCCCGAACCTCCATAGACACAGCAGAAGTGAAATTGAACACAATACAATTCTTATAGCCATTTTTTTTATTACACCTATAAAATAGATTTTATAGAAAACGTAAATAATTTTGGTAATTTCAACCCATACTACACTCTGGATACAGAAACATTCTTTTAAACTAGTTACTTCCATAAGGGCGTGTACACGCAAATGAATTCATAAAAGCTAACAGTTTATCATCTATGCTATGTACTGAATAAACGCAAGGTTAGTATAACACTAGTTACATGAACTAAGTCACGTTATCCAGTATCCCAGGAGACTTCAATTGAGGGATTTGGTTACAAAAGCTTGATGGTAGATGGAACATTCGTTACATGTACAGAGTCACGTAAGCTAGTACTAGCATTTCATTGGATGCTGTCATGGGAACGATCACCAACATGCTCGTATTACAATGGTTACACGTACAGAGTCACGTCAGCTAGTATACTGTCATGATCCAAGGATTGTGTTGCATTAGTAGTATAGTTCCAGGCACTCTCATGGCAGATCATTTTGAACATTGCTTCAGTAGTTAATTACTTGCGCATCTTTATCCATTTTTTTGAAATGCTAACGTTAACACTAGGACAAATTGTGGCATTCATTTGGGCATTGGGGGGGGGGGGCGCTGTGCAATATTTCACGGCTATCCAAAACTCAGTCCGTCATTAGTCAATGGGTGTTGGTCATTGTGCAGATCTTTCGTATACGGCTCACCTGTTGGAGATTGTAACTAAAGCAATGAGTAAAAGGCTCGTGCATTGTTCTCCCTGGACTTTTATAGAAAATTTCAAATGAGAAATGTCCCTTTCCAGTACGATTTTCGTGCAAAATAATTTGCAGGACTGAAGGCCTTCGGGATGTAGATGGGTTTTAATTAGGCATTTACAATTTATCTCGGCCGTCACAGAAGAGTCCGAGTAAAAGGGGCCTTAAAATAAAAAGAATCTTCACGGAAAAAATTGAAATTAATTATAATAAAGAGAAAGTATCTAAAAAAATTAATTTTATTAAAATATTAGTTAATAATATGCACATTACAAGGTTAATGATGAAAGATATAAATACGACAATGAATAAACAAACATTTCGTAAATATTTCTTTACAGTTTGGAAAGACTCGAGCAGTAATATAATATTAGTTTTCAAAGATGACATAATATAACATGTGCTCTGAAATTACGACCAGTTGAATATGGCAACGTACAATATGAAATAAATATTTCTCAAACGATTAATTAAAAATAAAGCTTAAAAATATTAACATATTACATAAAAATATTTCGACTCATCAGTTACCGCAAAGGGGTTAATTATTCACTGGGTTTTAATTTTGCTTATTTCGCCGACTGGAAAATGCGCTAAATTAAAACCCAGTGAATATGTAAAATTTAGCATAGAACACATTACCTAAATGATAAAACAGTGAATTTAAAACTCGCTGAATATGCCTGAAATGGTAAATCCGTGAAATTTAAACCCAGTGAAAATTAGTCATTTTACAGTATTCATAATCTAGTTATAGTACGAGAAGCCGGAAGGACTTCTATATTCATATATACATTTCCATCACGTGCATACTGGCCACTGGTCAGTTTACTGGTCATCATGAACATTAATCTTCCTCTTTTTTGGTTTTCATTACACCCATTATCAGGTGCCATGGCAACCTCACTACAGAGGATATCGGTTGTGAAATCTTTCTTTGATGTATTTTGGCAGCCATCTTGGTCGTACACTGTAACCCTACATGTTGCGCTGAATGGAAACTGCACTTTTTCATCGTATCGTCCTTTCTCAAGAACTACAAATAACGACGAATAAGTTTCATTTCGTCCCACGTAAGCACTTAGTTCAACCTGTATACTAAGTTTGTATCCCGGACAACCAGTATAGAAAGATGGGCTGATTAAATGGCCGCCGCCATCTTTTTCAGCTAATTCCATCTTCCAAAGCAACCTTCCATTCAAGTTCGTGTTTTCGAGGAAGTCCAATTTTTCAGTTTGCGCATTCATAATACAGTCTTTGTCCAACAGCTCTCTGGGAAAGAAAAGATGATATCAGTACAATATAATTGTATTCGCAAATCCAAGTGACGATTCATGGTTTTATAACGAATTTGAATTCGTACCGGTGAACCCATTTGTCAACATTCACTTCCAACAGATCAAGAATCAAGATTCCATTTAACACTGCCTCAAACGTAGACTATAATACATGGAACACTTTCCACTTATTAACTCGCATACTTGCATTACCTACTTTTTAATTGCTTTGTATTTATTTGATAAATCATTATATTTCATCTTAGTTTCATTGAGTTCTCTTTTGGCGTTATCTAGTTGTGATTTCTGGCTCAGTACTGTATTTGATAATAACATTAAGTGATGACTTGAAGCTTCTTGACAATGGATGTTCATCTCGCACCTTCTCACCTACAGATGTATACCACACATATTCGTTACAATAAAAATCAAGATGTAATACACCGCAGTGTGATTTACAGCATACGTTTTTAACGCGTATGAATACACGGGGACATCGACATTCTATGAAAATTTCATACCGTTTCCGACATTCCGATATGCAACACTAATCGCGGTACACACACGTGTGCCACTAATCTCAAGTCTTGATGTTAGCAAGTTAGTTCTTAGTAAGGAGCAACTTTAATGTGCTAAATGGACGATAATGTGCCATTTTATATGTTTGATACTGTATACACTGTAGAACACGTTGAAATAGCATGCAATTTTAGCGGATTTGACTCTTGGCATGAATTAACCGAATCTTAATTTAGCTAAGTGTCGACTATCTTCCTAGCTAAAATAACATGCTAGCTAAAAAGACACATTTTACAGATATTGATGACTACACAAAGCACACATCAGAGTATTCGATGAAACAATTATTTCTATAATATGCATGTGCACTGGTTATGTTGGAATGTATATTCATCACTGCACATCAGTGGTTTTGATTTGTCATCCAACGAATTTTGTTGGTGTACCGTGAATGCAACATGATAATCCTAAATAGCCTGAAAAGATCGCGCGTGTTGCGCCCTCCGCGGTGCTCCAAACCCAACATTAGTGAGGTCTGATGCCGTTCGGCTGTCGAGGGCGCTACTCGCGTCTACATGTCAGGCTAAATCCTAATCTGGTCTACAATATGGAATATCTAACAATATTAAAAAAAAACAAAAACGTTTTTATCCTCAACTCACAGTAATTTGGCATCCTAAATGTTGAAATGTACAGGGAATCATCGTGTTTGGACAATCACCTCCAGTAATGTCGACGTGTTGAGGAATCTACAAACAAAAGTAGATTGTGTTTCCACTATAGAATTGGACGGCACACAGATAATCAGACAAGTAGAAATACAATATAATCAAATGTATAGTATAATCTGAAAACTTACGGACGTCGAGCATGCAACTAAAAAGCGATTCACCACTGCATATCAATTTATACCCATTTCACGCTGCATTTAAAATTGTATTTGACATCACCGATGTAACCGTAACATCGTAATGGGCAACAAAAGTAGAAATGTCAAATACCTCTTCTCTTATTATTCCATGCTGACCACATAGTGCACAGCTGACTGGGAACTTTGAGCACAGTAATAACTCGTGTCTCTAAAAATACAAGTATACATACAAAGTCGAAATAATTTACATTCATTCATTCATTCATTCACAAACAATGCACACGAATCTGTAAGAGTAAACCAAAATAACGTGATTGACACACGACGCCCCTGATCTTCCTGGAATTATGTCTGCAAGATTGTAGGTGACAGAGCTACGGACA